CTCTCCAGCTCTTACTGTGATGCTTTATCCTCATCTAAACCTCTAAGTCCCCCTATCTCCCAGTCTATTACACTGCTGCATGTGTTTCTGGCTGTTCTCTCCAGAAAAGACAGAGAAGATTGAGATCAGCCTGGTTTGTACACTCTGTAAAACTTACTGACCTCACTACTGTGTGCTGATATAAAGGCACAGTCAAATACCAAGCCAAACTTGAAGGTGTAATCTGAAACTTTTCATAAAGTTGATATAGGCTCTTCCCCCACATTATGATATCTGCAACCCCCTCCGTTAGGTACCCTCTCATTACGGTAACAACCCACATTCCATAAAAAACAGGGGAGCCATTACAAGAAAGGCAGGAGGAGAGAACTTTTTATTATCTTTCAGGAGTCCCATTCAGGTAATCTGTATTTTCTTGGTAATTCATTGTCACTAAAATATCAACTATTATTCTGTGTTGTAACGCCCTTAGGGACTGTAAGTTATTATCATTTGCTAGGAAATTAAGTTCTTTCTACCCTTGTCACCCTTTGTTTTCTGTGTCATCATTTGCTTTGTGTTTGAGTTTTACAATTTCTGTTTGATTCTCCATTTGACATCTCAGTTCAGCTGGCATATGTTTCTGCTTCTATGCAGTATGTCAATCTCTCACAAATCTCCCTCTTGTTAAACTGCAATAATAAAGTTCATTAAGGTTATGTCTAAAATTATGTTTGCAATTTTGTAATTAAAAAAAAGGCTAAAGGGAAATATACTAAATGTGTACAGAGAGTATCTCTGGGTTATAAGATTCAATGCAATTTTTTCCCTATCCTTTTACATATTTTCCAAGTTTCCTACATAATAATGATTAGAAAAATTATTTAAAATATACTGTATTTGTTCTTTATCACATATATGTCTCATCAGATTGTTAGCAAAATTAATATTCCTTTATATTTAAGTTTCTTGTGAACAGTTTCATTTTGCTTTATGCATATCATTTTAATTAGCTTTAGGTTTCCTTATCATATTGGACAGTATCTTATAAAGTTTCATGGTTAGTAAAAATTATTTTTTAAATGATCATCCATTTTTCTGATCCAACAATAAAAGTTATGCTTGTAACTAAAAAATCTTATGTCTGTAACTAAAAAGTCTGACTAGTCTCATTATTGCTGAGTAAAATGCTAAAGTATCAGGGCAATAAGGTATAAATACTATAAAATAAACAATACTGCAGAACTCTTGAATAAAAATGCTAAGGAAGTACAACTGGCGATTTTAATGCCAAGTTTGGGCTTTGCAGATTGCAAAGGAGAATCAATTACTCCCAAAGTAACCCAATGTATGATACCCTGACTGTTATTCTCAAAAACGAAGTTAGAATATATGCATGTGTTAATGATGAGTTCACATTTGAAGTGCTTCTTCATGGGGACATGTCATTAGTACAAACATAAAAAATTTAAAGGTTGATTTATCCTAGGGAAATCATGATTTCTTCATGTTTCTACTAATAAGTACTTCTGTTAAATCTCGATTTTCATCTTAAATAAAGATCTATTTATCTTTTGGATCTTTCATTTTTTGGCTTCAATATTCTCTTAGTAGTAGTGTTATTATTTCCTCTGTGGTAGAATTAAACAGACTCAATACTGGGTTTTAATTTTTGCAGTCCTTCCTTGCCTGACCAAACTTCTTAGGATGCATACATTTGCTGAATCCTATTAGTATGTACTGAACTACATGATCATACAGCAAAAACATTACTTGACCCTCTTTGGATCACTGGCCTTCAACAACAGATATACATAAGGCAGGGATGGAGGTGATTAATTCTGTTGCCATGAAGGGAGATCAGTGTACAAAAATCTAAAAGAAGACTGCAGATAACAGCTATTCATATGGATTTAAAGTGTGTGTGCTACTTGGTGCCTGCTGAGCCAAACATAACTTGCACTTTATTACAGCCATCTTTGTGTCTTAACATTTGGTTCAACCCCTAGCTTCTATATTTGCTAATATAATTATGCTTGGTTATGTGTCCAGTTTTGGACAATTATCAAGCTCTTAGTTGTGCCTAGAACTTGGCTCTTAATAAGTATTTTCCAACATCAGAAATCATGTATGTAAGGCAATGGGGGATGTATTTCAAAAGTGATGTCAAAATGTTAGACAGAGTCCATTATTACATTTGGGTACTTGAATTATTATAATAACGATGAGACTAGATTTTAATTTTTGGATTACCTCTGTGTACTTAAAACTGATACATTTCCTAGACATAACCTTAGATTAAGGCTGATTAATAGTTAATAATTAGCCTCACATAATCCTTCCAGTAAGATTATTGTTATAGTTACTTGGCAAATATTTACGAAACACCTACTATAATTGAATTACCACAGAACAAAAATAAATAATTAAAATACCTCTATACTATGCTCAAGGAACTTAAAATTTCATATAAGAAAGAATATATATACACACAATTATAATACCCAGTATCAGCACAAATAACTTGATCTAGGTTATCAAGGAAGGAGAGAATTTCAAAAGGCAGAAATGAGGGAAGGAATAACATTCTCCACGTAACAGTGTTAACAAAACCACGGAGAAAGAAAAACATCAAGTGAGCACGTGAGTAGTCACGTTTGGCTGCAAAAATGGAATGTGATTAGCTGTATCAAGAAAAGGGTACAAAGACAAACTAGAACAGAACTATGTAAGGCCTTATATGTCAAGAAACCTAGACTTCATTGAGTGGACAAGCCAATTAAGGGCTCTTTATGAGCACAGAAGTGAAAAGATCAAAGAAATAATACAGGAAGATTATTTCAGTGGCTCTTGGCCTAAAGATACAGAACCTCAACTTGGATGATTATTTGATTGATTTACTAATATTTATTGAGCCCATACTATATGACAGGCACTATACTCAGTACTGAGGAAATAAAGATGAATAAGAATCCTATATGATCTAGTCCCATTACCTCTCTGACCTCTTTACTTATTACTATTCTGCCTTAAGGCCTCGACGGTCTTCTTGTTGTTTCCAAGCATGTTCTATCGTCTTAGGCCTTTTGCACTCAGTATTTCTGTTTTCAGAATCCTCTTTGCCCAAATGAATGAATGGCTAACTCCCAACTGTCCTTCAAGACTTGGTGCAAATGTTACCTTTCCAATGAAGCCTAGTCTGACCACCCTATTTTAAAATGTAACCAGCTCTATTTTCTTTCTTTATTCCCCATATCACTTACCACTTAATACATTATATAATTTAACAATTTATTATGCTTATTGTTTGGTTTTCCCCTCAAGAATGTAAACCACAGAAGTACAGAGGTCTTTGCCTCTTTTTATTCAAACACCTAGAAGAGTGTCTGACATATATGAACTCAGTATGTATCTGCTGAACACTGTTGAGTATAGGAACTGTAAGAATTCACAATCTTCTCAGGAAGGAGGACTTATTACCTAAACAGTGTGATAAATTCATTAAAAGAGGGATATACATAATGTGCCATGAGAACCCAAGGAGAGACACCTGAAAAGGTTCAAGAAAAGCTAATTCTAGAAGGTCATGATTTAGTGAAATAAGGAGAGAAATTTGCCATAAGAATAAAAATAAAAGGTACTGTTAGCTGAGAAAATAGTAGGACACCCTATAATTGCACTGAAAGATTTTGCCTTAATCATCTTTATGTCACTAGAACCTAATACAGAGCTTGGCACATGGTGCCATTCAACACGTTTGTTAGAGAGAAAAGATCAAGTATAGTTTTTTTGTAAATGGAAAAAGGACCGACAAGGAGCAACCAGAGAAGCAGAAAGAATCAGACCAGCATTACTTCAAGGAATAGTGTCAAATGTTTAGAGGTCAAAGAGGATCAGGCTGGAAAAAAAGGCCTTTGGTTTGGTATATACCAGGGAGCAGATTTTTTAGTAGGGTGAAAAATGCAGAATACAGGCTTAGGGAGACAGTGTGCTAAACAAAAGTAGAAGTGGTGAGCAGATTATTCTTCTGAAAAGTTTACAAAGTCCTTTCAAATATGTTATCATCTTATCTTTCAGTGAGGATACTGAGGCTCAAACAAGTTGATCTGTCCAAGGCCATGTAGCCAGCAACGGTCTTAAACATGATATGGATTCAGCTTTTCTGACTCTAATTCTCATACCACTTCTATTCTCCCCACCATCACGGTCTTGTTTTACTGTCATTCGTATAGTGGTGGGCTTCACAGAGTGGGCAGTGAATCCACCACAATATCCTACCAACATTGGTATCATGGGGGAGGAGGTAAAAAATGGCCTGAAGAAAATTTCAAGTATAAAAATTCAGTGCTAGGATAAGAAACTGGATGGAAGAAATGAGTGCGGACTACATACAATCTCAGTAGCAGAAGACAGTGAACACCAGTAGATATAACAGTTTAATTCAGTTTGCCTGTGCAAGTAAGCTAGCTATACTTTTTTCTTTAAGCCAGAGCTTCCCAACTGGTATGCAGGGAAGGGCTACAAGTGTGCAGTGATATTGATTGCCTTAGTCTTTAGTGCTGCAGTTCTAAATTCTCTTCTGTTGACCACAATGTGCCATACAATTATCATAGGTGTCACTGAACCACTGTAAGAATAAAGTTGGAAGCACTGTCTTGGATTACTCTTAAACAAATGATTAACTTAAAAAAGTTAGTGTAGGTACCTGTAAACCATAAGATATTACTTATATCATTCACATATTCAGAGAGAAAATACTCTAAAATTCATTCTCTATTATAATTTAACACCCAAAGACAAGGCCAAATGATGAGTGATGCTAATTTTTTTTGAGTGATGCTAATTTAATTTTTCCTCCTTTCCAAATATACTAAATGTACTAAAATATTTTGAAATAGATTTACCAAAGATATATTGTCCTGATAAACTTCAGCACTTAAATGGTACTTTTTATCTGAATTAAACAGTAACATTACAATCATTATTATGTAGATATAAAAAGAAAAATAACAAAAGCATACCTGTGGGGCATATCCAGGAGGCACATAAATAGGAGGCACAGAACCATTTGGGGACATCATTGGAACCTGAGCAGGACCTGAATGGGTCACAGAAATGATGTATTAATCCAAGATTACTTAGCAAGGTAAATTGAAACCCATTTGAATTGTACTTTGAATTCTTCATCCAAACTAACACTCAAACTAAGAGTGACTGTATTTCTATGAAAAGAAATCCAGATGCTTCACCTGTTATATAGGAGAAAAGGTTATCTTGTCAAGTGCACTGATTGCTTTTTACTTGCAGTTGTGTTTCTCAAACTCGTCAAGTGATCATAATAGTCACTGAGGTATCTCTTTAAAACACACAGATTTCAAAGCTCTCCTACAGGTTCTTATTTAGTATGCTTACAGTAAATAGAGGTCTTGAATCAGCATATATACTTCAAATATCCCAGGTAATTCTTAGACTCGTGCAAGTTAAGAAACACTGACCTATGACACAACATTGTAAAATTATTATAAATCAATAAAAAATGTTGAAAAAAAAAGGAACACTGACCTAGAGGAAAATCAAACTAAACTTTGCATATAAAATCAATGAAAAATATAGAAGGCAAAATTTTGAAAAGCAATAGGAAAAATCAAGAAAAAGTCAAGAGGGAAAAGCAGTAAGAGGAAGAACAGTTAGAAATTCGGAACTTGCTTAGTTAGGGTTAAAAGCCTCTTGTGTAATGTGTAACTCATGTTTGTGAGGGGTTGAGAACAAAGTCAGAAATTATGTGTGTATATTTACCCAAGGAAATTTTTTTGTTTCTTACCCCAAACAGTTCTTAAAAACAAACAAACATACAAAACCCTCACCTTGTCATACTCTGCATTAAAAAAATTTTTTATAGTGATATCCTTTCTAAACAACTTTAAAAATATTATCTCTTGTCTGCCTTCTCCTAATCAGGCACTCCTAGAAGGTGTGTTTTATTCTTTCTAGGAACTAAAATCTTACTTGTTTTACGTAACTTAAAAAAAAAGCATATCTTACCTTCAAATCCTTTTTCCCCCTGTAACTTTAGACTGCATTGTTCCCTCACCCACTAGTTTTTAATAAATTGAAATGAAACCTTCTCAGAGAGCTTTACTCATTTCTAAGGAAATAAAGGTACCCAAGAGTCTGATAAAGAATGTAATGGAGGAACAGTTCCCTTTATATGTAGATTTCAACCTGCAGAGTACATATATTTGATCTCAGTCATTAAAGAAACCGAGGAAGAAGAGATAAATCATAGAACAAAAAAGAAATAAATTTCACTGGTATCATTATACATACTTCAGAAAAACAGAATAAAGAGCATGGAGACTACAGCAAATAGAAATTACAGCCACTCTCCTCTTACTAGGGGAAGAGGAGGGGTGAGGACCAAACAACAAAGTAGTGGTAAAGGTAGGGGGAAGAAGGAGAGAGGTAGGGGAGGAAAGAGAATGTAGGAAAAAGGAGGGTGTGGGAGGGGAAATAAACAGTGGTATGGAAATAGGGAAGAGAGGAGAGTGAGAAAGGAGGAAGGAGGGGAGACAGTACAGGCAAGAGTAGCAGGAGCACTGGAAAAGGAAGAGAAATAGGAGAAAGGAGAGAATAAGAGAGAAGACAGGAGGAGAGTGAACAGGGCTGGAAGGAGGGTGAGAAGGGGAGGGGAAAGAAAAGGGTGGAAGAATGGCGGTGGGGTGGGAAGGAGGAGGGAAAGAAAGAAGAGGCAGGAAGGGGAAGGAAGAAAGCAGGAAAAAGCCTCAAGTGGTTAAGAGGAAGTAAGGAGTGATGTCTATGTGGGCAGACTACCAAATTATGCTATATATCACTACAAAATAAATTTTCAACAAAACTCTTCCCATCCAAAACAAGCCCACCAAATATATGAAGTTTTTCCAGAACATTACCTTACAACAGCTAATTATATAGATAATATTAACTTACTATGTACCAGGCCTTTAATGTAATTTTTTCTCCTCATAATCATTCTATTAGGTAAATGTTATTATTACTCCTGTTATCGAGATGTGAAAATTGAGGCAGAGAGGTTAATATTAACCAAGCAGTAGAACTAGGATTCAAAACCAGGGAGTTTCATTTCTAAGGCTATATCTCTACTATGTATTTAGTAAACATTAAAATACTATGCATTTTTGTCAACGGATGTAATTTGAGCCTTAAGAACTATGCTCTTATGCTTCTAAGGAAAACCAAGGCCTTATTATCTTCATTTACTTGAAAAACAAGAGCGAAACGAAGAACAAAATTTCCCTACACAGAAACTAACATTATCTATAAATTTATTAAATAAGACTTGTGAGGTGCTTTATAGCTCTAGGCAAGAAAGGCTTCATTCCAAAACTCACCTTTTAACTTCTATATGGTGGACTCAAGAAAAAAAGACAATGGTTTTAAACTAATGTTGGTTTACTTCTATTAGCTAATTTATATAAAACTACAGTATATTAGCTTTCTGAACCCTGAGAGCTGGTTTAGAAATTACCCAGAATATGTGAAATTTAGCTGGGAATCAGAAAAAGAATTCACTGAAAATCATATTAGTAATCTTAATAAAGGAAATTATTTTGTTGAACTTCTACTATATATGCCAGAGATGTGGTTCCTCACACATTCTGTCAAATCTAATCCCTATTTCAAGTCATCAGAACAGGTTTTTTATTCCTGTTTTTCAGCCAACAGAGTAAAAAATAAGTTACTGCTGATTACATTTAAACTTGTAAAACTACATAACTGCTTCATGTTGCCCTTTGTTTACTAAAAATTTGAATATATAAATACTATGTAGTTATAATTCAAACCATACTGTACTTTGAAAGACGCTAAAATTGTTTATAATTTAGTAGTACAAAATTCTACTTTATCCTTTAATTATATTTAAGTGTGATAATGAAGAGAGAACAAAACAAACCCAATCTAAAATAAACCATCAGTAAATCCATTACGAGTTGCAGTCCAGAAATAATGATTAACTCATTCCCCTATGAAGTAATCATTTCACTCTAGCAAGTGAATTTTCTTATCCTGAGGCAGAAATGGTACAAGGTTAGATTTTTTAAAAAAGACAATTCATAGATATCATTATTTAATATTTAAAATACTGGTGTGAAGTAACGTTCAATACTGAACACAAACTGCCACCATATAAACATAGTAAATTAAGTATCACATTTAAAACTGCAATATTTACAGCACCATTTCTGTTGCTATTCCTGTCTATAGCAGCAAGACTCTAAAACCTTGCATACTTAATGCTGCAAATATTCAATTACCTCCTTAGTTCCAACAATACTTTTTAATTTAGAGTACTGAGAGATTAACTATGAACCCTGATTAAAGGCAGCCAGGTGATTCTGTCCCAATGAAGAAGCTAAAACTGTTACATATTGTACCATATTGTACATCTGTTCAGCTATTATCTGAACAACTATAGATACCTCTAGTGGCTCCTTAATAATCTACATGATCTGAGCAAAATCTACCCTAAACCATACAGCTATTGATTTTTAAGGGCATATTTCCTTCTCCAAAATCTTGCAGAAGAGTAAACAATTCTTTTCACCAATTGTCTTAAGAAATTTGAGAAGCCTCTCACCTCAATTCCTTAAAAAGTGCTGTCAATGATTTAAAAGACAGTATTTTATCTAGTACTTTCTTTATTAGTAACTTATTAATAATCTTCTTTATTAGCATACATTCACAGTTGAGCTTTTAAAAAAACGAAATTAGAAATTTGTCTGAGTTTAAATTCTTAAAATGCAACGGCCTGCTGACGTGCCACACGTTCTCTTTACAACCAGGCTTTCACAATGGCTTCCAAATAATCTGATGTCAGTTTTCAGATTTTAGTTGTAAAAAGAAAAGCCTAGTAAAGTAAAAGCGCTGGAAAGGAAGATTCTGTGGAATATAAAATCAGCCCAACTCTATTAAACAGAGTCTGATCTTTTTGTAACTACACGGCGACAATTTAAAATATTTTTACAGCGACAGATCTGGCATCTATTGAAAAAAACACACAGCATGACTTTAGATTAATACAATGCTTTCTATGTTTTAAAACAAAAGCAGAATGTTCAAAACAGTCAGCAAATCTTACCACTCATTTTGTTTTTACAGTAGCAGCAGAGAACAAGAAAATCCAACAAGGAAACAGCGTAGTACACGTTAACAGCTTTAATTGGAGAACGGCGGCTACTTTTTTTTTTTTTTTGGCAAAGCTATGAGAGGAAAAGATCCTTTGACCGAGTCACGTGACACCTATCACATGACCTGCTGTGACCCGCGGAAAGGGAAAAAAAAAAAAGCAAACGTTCTTGCTGGCAGTGTTTCTCCGATATAGTAAATGATTAAATGATTTCTACTGCTGCTGCCTTCAATTTGACCATTTTTTCAGACTCCCTTATGAACAAATGAAAAAGCTCATCAAAACATACATGCAGAACTATATAGTTGATGTAAAATGATTCTCTTTGTTTTCACTTTCCTCTGATAACATCATGGGCACTGTGTACTAACTGAAATTTTATTACCCAGCCAGTTGCTTTTCATTTAGAGTTTAGGATACATATAACACTAATTGAGAAGATTAGGTCTGAAATGCCCTCCTGTAACTTTACCCACTCTCCATACTCAACCCTCCATAGGAATGCCCACAGTACACAAAAGAACTGTCTATAGAATACACAGGCTTGGTCAATGTGTTCCTCAAACATGGGATTTCTATATCAGGCTGGTATTTAACCTCTCAAGCTAATAAAGACTACCACTTTCATTGCTGGTTTTTCTTTCTTTTTATTTTTTCCTGATTTTGTTGTCGTTTCCAAAGATCTAACCTGGACATCAATACAGATACTTGGTGATGGCATTCTCACTCATATCCATATCTGAAAAGACAGATCATAATGCAGGCTTAACACTGTACTCAAGCATGTGTGGAACCCAGGAAGGAGACTAGAGATGTTCAGTTACAAGGGAGGGGAATGAGACAGTAAGAACTTTTGGGGGTCTTATTACTTTATGGTGGCTGTTATGTAGTTAAGGACATTTATTAATAGCTAA